AGTGAGTTAGAAGGGAGGACTTAAAAACCTCTACCTGTAGTTGACAATTTGTATTTAAATATTATTCAGTAAATTATTAAAAAAATGACGACTCTTATTATTAGATGAAATACTAGAAGTTAAATATACAAAAAAAATTATACAAAAAATATTATAGGTAAAAAAAAAATAAATCTAAGAAATAAACTTAATCCAGATTTACTATATTTTAAGGTTTCAACTTAATAAGTACTTCAACTTATTCAAAATTATTCAAAAAAAAATCAAAAGCAAATTCTTCCCCCTACTTCTGTTTGACTCCCAAAGGTAGGGGCTCACAGTTTCTATAAAGCAAACAGGACACTCCAAACAAAAAAAACCCCAAACTAAAACTTCCTATTACTTCTTCATAAAAAAAACTGTTAAATTCCAAAAGCCACGCCACGTCTGGCCCCTACCTTGGACTCAAGTTTCTGCCACCAAAGTTCAAACAGAAGTGCGCTTCGGGTACTCTATTTGAGCTAGATAAACTATGATTTCAAACTTGGACGCTTGGTGTCGCTGTTTCATACCAACTTAAATTTTAAGATTCAGAAAATCATTAAGAGGATTAAGATTTTAAAATTTATTTAAAAAATGTTTACGGAATGTTATAGTAACGTTCTCGTTACAAAACCCTCACACAACATAGCATAGACCATAACACTGTAGCACTTATTAAAAAACTATATTGGAATCAAATGGCGTCGATCAAAATAGATAATCGTACGACAGCAGAATTGCCAATAAAAAGAGGAGTTTGTCGGGGCTGTGTACTTTCTTCACTGTTATTTAATATATATTCAGAAAAGATCTTTTAAAATGCCCTCGAAAATATTAAAGAAGGAATAACAGTCAACAGGGAATACGTAAACAACTTAAGATACGCAGATGAGACCGTCATTATTGCGGACAGTGCTGCGGGTTTACAACGACTTTTGAATGTCATAACCAGAGAGGGAGATTGCTTGAGGCTAAATATAAACAAATAAAATAAAAGTAATGGCTGTTACACGTGCATCAAATGTCGACATTAATGTTCGTATCTATAACAAACATATAGAACAAGTACAAATATTCCAGTATCTTGGTTGCTGGATAACAAACGATCTTGACCACGAGGTCGAAATACGTGCTCGTATAGAATATGCTAGGTCTGCATTTCAACGAATGAAAAAATTCCTAATAAACTCTACGTTATCGTTGGATATCCGATACCAATTTGTAAAAACGTTTATTTATTTCATATTTCTATACGGAGTGGAAACATAGACTCTCTTGGACAGAACATGTGACCAACAACGAGGTGCTAAGAAGAATGGGTACTGAGAGAGAACTTCCGAATTTTGTAAAAAACAAAAAAACATATTTACAGAAGAGAAAAATACAACTCTCTACGACTTATAATGGAAGGGAAAGTGGAAGAAAGAAGAGGTCCAGGAAGAAGAAAATGCTCCTGGTTGAAGAATGTAAGAGACTGGACAGATATGAACACACTTTCGATACTAAGAACAGCTCAATATAGAGAGTAATTTGCTGTAGTTATAGCCAACCTTCAGTAATGGAGAAGGCACCTTAAGAAGAAGCTCATTGCAGATACTTTGTATCTTTCCAAACTTTATTCTCATCGCATTTTTTGCCATACCAATACGTCTCTGAACTCTGAACTGCTGCTTCACAGTTAAAGTTTGTTTTTCAGTAAGTGGTTGACTTAAATTAGTATCGACTATAAACGTCAATGGTTTACCTGAGGTACAAGGTCTTAACAATGGACCAAGTCAGATAAATGTAATAATATTTACGACCGCACTATAGTTTATTTTTATGAACGAGAGAGTAATTAGCATAATTTTAACTGGTACCTCCGACCACTCCATGGGCGTGCTCAAGATTAATTGAAAAATTACTTTGAATAATTGTAAAAAATAAATGAATTATTTCAGTGTTATAAAGTGTTATGTGTATGTAAACAAAAGTGACCTCTTTTATCACACACTATATTAGAACTGACTGGCCTACATTAACAAGGGTTTTAAAAAATTCACATTTTTTTTACTTTTTAAAAATTACAAAAGAGAAAAAGAGTTTTTAAAACCGTCTAAGGTATGTTAAATAGATCAACAAAAATATTAATATAAAACTTACAGCTACTTGTTACAAATCCAAATCAGATTCAGAAGATAAACTTTCAGAACCAAGATTTATAATAACTGGCTCGATCATTTTATCAGTAATATTGTCCAACTTCCACATTTTTTCCTCTTCTTTAATAGTGTGATTTACTGCCTTTTCCCAGTTTTCAGGTTTTACATTATTTACGGCCTCCAAAAACAACTATTTAACATCATGAATTTTAAAAGTGGTATTTTTTCTTGAAACTTCACTCTTTATCTGTGCCCGTACCAGTTCAATCGGGTTTAATTCACAATGATATGGTGGGGATCTAAGTACTGTCATTCCACGATTTTCGGCAATTTCATCAATTTCGTATTTTTTAAATTTTTCTTTATGAAGGGCACACAACGAATAAAGTTCCTTTCTTATAGATCCGGGATGGTACGTAATATTTTTTGAACTCAGCCAATTCTGCAAGTCTTTTTTTAACCACTTGGTTGTGGCAGTCCTTCTATAAGTCTGGAGTGATAACTTGCATTATCCATTACTATTACACAGTTCTAAGGAAGAAGATCTATCATTTGTTCGAACCATTCTTGAAAGACATCAGCGTTCATGTCTTCATGGTAGTCACCGGTACGAGTTGATTCAAAAGTTAATAAACCACCTTCAACAAAACCGTCTGAACTGCCAATGTGTACTATTATCAGCCTGCGTCCCTTTCCTGATGGTGGGTTTAAACCAGTAGATAAGTTATTTGCAAAAGCGTGCCTTTGACTTGTAACAGTTTCATCCTGCCAAAATTTATTTGGTGTATGACCCTCGTTGATCCATGTTTCATCAAGATAAACTATTTTTCTATTTTGGTTTCTCATTTCCTTTATGGTTCTTAGAAAATGTCTTCTCCATATGACAATATCGCTTCTTTCTAATAAAATAGACTTTCTGGGATTCTTTTGCCAGCGGAAGCCTATTTCTTTTAAAAGTTTCCATAACGTACTTCGACTCATTTCTGGGTAATCCTTATCATCTCGAACTGAGACAAAAACTTTATCTAATGTTGGAAATTCTTGTCTAAAGAAGAATTCATGCACTTTCCGTCGAAGTCCTTCTTTAAAATGATATTCTATTTGAAATTTTGGTTTCCCTGGAGCATTACGTGGCATTTGAAAACTACCACATTTCTCTTCTTTAATAACTCTGTAAATCGTAGATTTCCCAACACCAAGTGTACTGCTAACTAACTCAACGGTCTCATCAACACTTTCACATAAACGTTTGTCTGTAAATGATTTAAAACAATTAAATATTAATGTTTTTTCATTAACTGTTAAAGGACCAATTTTTCGGCGTTTACACGGCACTTCCAAATTTTCCATAACACTAGTATACACAATAAACTGCACCTTGCAACTGAAGTACCTACTTTTAGTGAACTGTTAAGAATTTTGAATACGCCACTTGGACCTTCCTACAAAATGGAAAAACCCACTATCACAATTTCTGTGGAATAAGTTTAGAAGGTAATTATCTAGTCAATTACTGTCGTAGATTCCTGGAATTAAAGAATTAAATATTTGATTGTTGAAACCCTTACTTCGTGGAATGCACTCATTTCAGATAAAATAAAACATTTTATTTTATCTAAAGAATTAAACTTTATTTTGAAAATAGGTAGGTACTTATTAAACTTTTATTGGTTATATATAACCAATAAAATAAACATCTTATATTTCTTGCAAATTCATTAGTACCTGTTAACCTCCATCACTCCGACACTGGCAACCTTATTTAGGGATTAGTAACCCTCACAACTATTGTATTCTATTCTGCTCCAACCTTTATACCTGGTGGTCATACTCAATTTAAAATTGTTTTCCTATATACTTCTGTAAACTTGTTGACAAATATCTGTTTTTCATTGAGTCACCCGTATCAACAGTTTAGGGATTTGCATACATAATTTATTGTTTTATTACTCTCTCATACATAAAAATACACTATAATTGAGATCAACCATTTTCTGTTAAACAAACTCTAGCGCTGACAACATTTTATTTTACTCTTGTAATATCACTCTGATATCCCAGTCAAGGAAGAAAAATAGCTGAAAAAATCTTATACAGATATTTTATGATTTATAAATTACTACAAAAATAATGCTTTTTTGCACTTATCTCTGTTAATTATTTACATATTTCAATTTTAAAACTCAAAATAAAGAACTTATTGAGATCTATAAATTTTATTTAAACCGTCAGGTGCACGTCTTGAAGGATTTTTCATCAGCCACCCCTCACTTACCTTTTAGAATCATTAAATATCTAGATTTTTACCATTTAAATCAATTATGTTTCCCCAGATAGACTGGTTTATGAGGAGGCTCCTTCCGTGCTCCACATTAAATATATTATTTATTCTAGTTGGTAGATATTTCTCAGTTTTACTATTAACGTTAATGTGTAGTGACTTTCTTTGTCGCTTGGTGTTTAATTTTATCTTTTATGACCCAATTTTAAATTTGATTAACTGTTGTCTTCAGTGTGTGTTTTGAGTCATTATAATACTTAGCTATTGTTAATATAGCAGTTTCATTGCTGAATGAAGCTATCATTCTCAAATAGACAAATATTATCAGACTGTACAAAGTATACCACTTTCGTACGGCATACCCCTTCGTTCTGCTCTCTCTTAATCCGGCTCGAAGGACCAAAAAATAGTATGTTGCTATAAGAGCACACAATAAAGAACGTGTGAAGAGATTTCGTTTTCCAAGCTATTTCTTCAGCCTATCGATCAAAAGTAAATTGTCCAGCGATGTTTTCTGTGTATAAAGGAAAATTTCAGTGTTAAAAGAATACACTTCTTTATAAAATAACAACCAACCATTTATTATTTATACGATACAAAACATGAAAAATCACAATGTAACTATCAGTCCCGACATTTACACACTCATAATAAACACACTATTTAACCAATTCCATACTATGGAAAATCACAATTTAATTTTACCCGCTAAAATATCTTCATATAGAGGTTTTATCGGTACATAATCTACTTTCTTGCTATCATACACATACACATCCTCTTTAACTAAATTAACGTCATATCCGTCCTTCTGGAGTTCATTTTTCTTGACTTTAAAAGTTCCTGTCATCGGTAGCGATTCCATAACTCTTAGAAATATAGGTATGGCGTATGTTGGCAGATGAGCTTTTAGTCCTTCGGCTAAAGCTTTTCTGTTTAAGGATTTCTCTTTGTCGGCAACAGCAATCATACCAGCTTTTCCATCGGCATTTGGAACCTAAAAAGTCAGTGTCTTTATAAAGAATTTAATTGAATTAATTAAACTACAAGTACAATTTTTAGTTAGGTATCTTTAATTTGGCTAACGGATTAAGTCCACAGTTAAAAAACCAAAGAAAAATGAAATTAAATATTGGTCGAATCTGTCAATAATTTAATTTAAATTGCAATTCTTTCTCTATTATTATTTGTTTTGCGGAAGTTTTAAAAAAGCTTGTAACTTTGCTGCTAAGGCAGATTTTACAAGTACTAAAATAATATAATAATATATATATACCTCAACTCCGTAAACCACGATTTCCTTTGGTCCTATTATGTCACTTACTAGGAGTTCCACTTCAGTCGTTGCCACATTTTCTCCTTTCCATCTGAAAATTAAAACAATAAAAATCCAAATAAATCATACTTGAAAATATTAAATTATATGGCAATATGCCGATGAAATTAGATTTTCAACAGTGAATATAAGTCCTTACTCGAAAAATTTTTCTACAGCCGAACTGTAGAAATGTTAAATTTCATTTTCCCTGTGGATAAGAAAAATACCTTTTACTACAGCTAATACTTCGTGGTTATCATGGCTTTGAAACAGTCAAGAATTGACAGGCATGAGAAGTGCTGAACAGCTTTTCCGTGTGGCACAAAATAAAGCAAGTCCTGGAACGTCCTGGAAACCGACCAAGACAATTAAGAAAAGAAGACTGCTGGGATCGAATCATAAACCAACAAAATTCTGTAATGTATGTATAGAAGGATTTGTAAAAACAAAACTCAACAAATTTACAATAGAAGGAATTATGTAGTCGGTGAAGTGAATGTATCTTTCTACCTTTTAAATTTGGATGTACATTCTGAATGGATGAATCTTTGGATGAAGTATAAAGAAAAAAATCAAATTGAAGTGACATATTAGTACAAAAGCAGCTGATGCCCTGGATAAACTAATATAGGAATGTAATGGAAAGTATAGGAATATTCGTGTCAGAAATTTTATTGGCGATCGCCTATTGGACCATTTTTAATTTAGCATTTTCCATACACTCCTGAATGTAGGTCTCCCAATTGCTTCCATCTTTCTCTATCTTGCGCCAATCTAATCCACTGTTTGCCTGCCACTGCTCTTATGTCATCTACCCATCTTTTTTGAGGTCTTCCCATGCTTCCTGTTCCATGCGTCCTTGGTCTCCATTCTAGAATTCTCCGTATCCATCTGTTATCATTATATCGGGCTACGTGCCCAGCGCCATTTCATTTTTGTAATTTCTTCCACAATATCCCCAATCTTCGTTCTACGTCTTATCTCTGTGTTTCTAATCTTGTCTCTCAGTGATATTCCAAGCATGATCCGTTCCATTGCTCTTTGCGCTTCTAATTTTTTAGCAGATTTTTTGTTAAGGGCTACTGTCTCCAAGCCGTAGGTACAAACTTGTAGTATGCATGTGTTATAGACCTTTTTCTTTAAGTTTGCAGGAATGAAGGTGTTTTTCAAGATATATGGTAGTTTGCCAAAAGCGCCATATGCCAGTTGTGTTCTTCTATGGCCTAGATATACATAATGTTCAACATTTTCTATGGTATGACTTTGTATTGTTATATTTGTCTGGTCTGGTCACTATTTAGAGATATAGCTGCATAAAATTATTTAGTTATGTGTCAAACAAAGTATCGAAGTTAACAAGGCAGTATGTTTATAAAGACTAAGAGGAATATATTTATTGAGCTTTTAGGAAAACTCGTGGTAGCAAATTTAGAACAAAGAGCAACAAAAATCGAAGACAATGGAAGAGGATTTCAGAGTAATATTGTTAAGGTGTTTAAAATATGTGGAACTACCGGCAGTTCCAAGCATTAAAGTTGCAGTCTTTGAGATTAATATGAGAATAGTGCATACAAACCAACAATGATTACATTTTACAATGCAACAAAGGGGGTGTTGATACCGTTGATGAGCTAAAAAGATGAGTCTCATTACACCGTAACTTAAATTTCGTCGAGAAATGGTTGTTACCAGTAACTATGAGAAGTCGTATAAAAGAAATATTGGACATTCTGGATGTATCTACGCATCATATCCAGCATGATGTTCCAGGCATATGTCATTTTTGCTCGTCGAAAAAGAACATACTTCCCAGCTTTGTACTGAATGCTATAAAAGCCAACAATAAATGGAAAATTGTAACGTAAGTTAAAATAAAAGATTTTTGGTTTACATTTGGGTTGCGCGTGATACAACGTAAGTTTTTAATGCGTGTAATGCCGGATAAAGAACATATGAAATGAAATATTGATCGTTACACGTCGATTATCGATCCTAACGGTAGTTGTACAACTTTAAGACTCGGCTTCATCACCTTGTCTGTTGTTCACGCCGATATATGTTTTAAGTCGATTTCATTCATTTTTTCCGATGCGGCAATGTAGCAGATATATTATGCCATATGTAAAGATACGACAAGAGTCCCTAAAAGCATCTCAAGACGACAGCACTTAAATACGGGAATAAGATCGGTTATACAGCAGTCACAGTGTTAATTCAAATAAAGTCAAGTTTTTCACGTGGAGTTTGATTATTTACCAGCGTCACATTCGAAGTGCAAATTAAGTCAATTCATCTGCAACTATCTAGACAATCTTACAACTTACAACTTACAACTATCTTACAATGCATTTACCGGACCAGTGACATTAATTACTTTTTTTTTAATAGTCGTAGCCTACTTCTAGTATGCTTTCTCTCTGCTTTATAATAGTTTTTCATAATAATATTGATTTATAATTACATTATTTACCTGTACGTATCTCCAGTTCTGTCTTTGAAATAAAGATATCCAAACTCATCTTGTACCATTAAATCCCCAGAATTAAAATAGGAATCTCCCTTCTTAAAAACATCTTGCAGAATCTTCTTGCTCGTCTCTTTTTGGTCCACATAACCATCAAAGCTGTGTGTACTAATTTTCTTGTATATTTTTCCTATGAGTATACCTGATTCGTTATCTTTACATCTAATACACAATCCGTTTGCATCTCTAAGCGGCTCTTTGGTCTCATCGTCGCATTTAATAAGGCAAATTGAAAATATTGGTCCCAAATAAAACGGCAGAAAACCAACTGATCCAATGGTGTTATCCAAGTTGACTAAAACAGTATAATTGTTACTTAGTATTTCGGAATTGCAAAATATACTAATAGTAATTTTTTTAATATTTCAGTTACATTTGATTATCAAAATCTAAGTTTGAAAATAACATTGTAATAACCAAAAACATTGTGTGATGTAATTCAATTCAAATAAACAATACGCGTGTTAACAATCGAAAAACCTCCTACGTGACCCTGTAGATTCAGCAGAAATTATGTGTCATATATTTAGTATTTGTTCAATTCAATAGTTAATTAGGAGTTTCGATACTTTTGGTCCACTCTGTATATAAAATATATCAGTTACTTACTTAAATTGGTGTTCCCTTCTGTCGACCCATAAAACTCAAAAAGTTCAGGTATCTTGAAAGTTTCTACAAAGTCTTTCCAAACATCTTTTTTGAGTCCATTGCCAAACATTTTTTTCACTCCATGGGTTATGTTTGATTTTCCTTTATGCGCTGCTAATATGTATCTGCACGTTTCTCCTATGTAGTTAGCAACCTGAAAAAAATAGGTATTTTATTATTTTAACTAGCTGAACAAGTTTTTGAAGTTTGAGAGGGCTCTTAACCAACTAAGAAACAAAAAATCCCTAGGCATCGATGGCGTAGGAGCGGAGACTTTAAACGGAATGGCAAATTTGGCGTAGATGTAATACTGGATATATGCAACATGAACACAGAACTTTTATTTCTCCTGCAAGCAAAATCCTGCTACATATAATCATTGAACGGCTAAAGAACCTCTAGGCTATCCAAACACAGCCGAAGAACAATACGGATTCATACCAGGAAAGAAAACGCGAGAGCAGATACTGAAAACCAGACAGATAATAGAAAAGTGAGAGAACACAACATACTAAAGCTGCACTGTATCATAGATTACAGAACGGCTTTCGATTTAGTAAAATCGGATATCCTCTAGAGTATAATGAAAAATATGGTATAATGGAAAAGAAGCAACAGCTAAATTGGTTAACATATGGAAATATCGAACCACAACAAGGAATACTAAGCTCAGGTTGGTCAATGCTTCATTTTTCCCACTGCTACATATGCAGCTGATCGATCAGAATTAGATCGAAGCCTTTGAAATGTGAGTATATAGAAGAATTCTACGCGTGACCTGGACAGAACATAGAAACAACCTGCCCATTCTGGAAAAGCTTGATGTAAAAGAGCGGCTATTAAAAAAAGTAAACCAAGTATACCTAATTTACTTCGGCCACATAACAAAAAACGGGGATCATGAAACTATTGGTATTATAAGGAAAGGTAGAAGGCCTAAGACTAAGAGGAAGACCACCAACCCGATGGGCAGATCAAGTGGAGACTCTGGTGGAAAAATTCCTACATGAAGCCGTCCATATGGCATAGGATCACAGCCAATTGGGACAGCAAGTTAATAATGATAATAATAATAACCTTGCCATACTCTATGATTTACAAAACATCTTAATTGTTAAATAATACTTAGTTTACTTACAGTACAATTATATTTATTGCAATCCGTCCAAAAGTTAGAAGCAGAAAACTTGCGTCTAAGTGTCATGGTTACTCCGAAAATTAAAGTTTGTCCAATCGTTAACATTCCTCCAGTGGCGTGGTATAGGGGTAGAGGGTTATAAAAATTGTCATTTCCGTCTAACGAAAGGAAGTAGTTGATTCCAGTTACAGCAAAATTGAATCTAAAATATAATTAACTTTAAAATAAATTTAATAGTATGAGAGCCGGTCTATTATGTGGCACTGGTTAGTCTGTGAGCACAGTGCGGTCCCAGTATAGCTTCTGGTTGTCATTTTTAAGCATTCTGTCAGGGACGTATTGATAATAAGGAAGATGGTCGGTTTGGAGAAGTTTCAGTTTATCATTTAGTTCTTGGTGGATAATCTTTCCTACTGAGTCATGGCGTTTTTTATAATCAGTACCGATAAATGGCTGACAGCCACCGGTAAGATGTTGAATGGTTTCTTGGGCTTAGCATCCATATCGGCATTTGTCATTTTGGATTTTAGGATCTTTAACACTATATTTCAGGTAATTTTTAGTTGGAATAACCTGATCCTGAATGGCAAGTAGGAAAGCCTTAGTCTTGGGAAACATCTTTCCTAATGTCAACCAATAGTTCGACGCTGTATTGTTGACATATTCTTGGCTGATCTCATTGAGAGCCCATACAGATGTTTACTCATCCAGGTTATTTATTTTTTTATTTTTATTATTATTTATTTAATTTTTTATTGTTTTTTTTCTAAGAATTCTAATTACTATTTTTTTTTCATTCCCACAGTTTACGTTGAGTTTTAGATGTAGCTCTACTTTAGTCTATTTTCGATTCTTTTAGGTAGTAGATATTTTTTTGATTATATTTGCTGTTTAGTTTATTTTCATTACTTTTATACCATTTTCTGACCCGTTTTTTAAAATTTTTGAATTTTTTGTATTTATTACCCTTATTATTATACATATATTCAATTTTCTAAAATAAAAATAATTACTTAAAAAAATTATTTCATTTATTAAATTAAAAATATGTACTAACAAAAATTATATATTTTTAATACGCCCCTGTCACGAAAAATACACTTATATTGCGCCTTAAAATATTTATTTTAAATATTTTAGGCATAATCGAATTTTGAAAGGAGACTATTTGACAACATTGTTGCTATACTTATTGTTTTTATTTGTCTGATCATCTTTTTACCATTTAAAAAATGTGCAAAAAAGACAATCTTTGGGCGAATTGTTTTAAATTACAACTTAGTGTCACAATTTTACTTTAAAATAAGTTTATTTTAAAGTTTTACTATGGCCTTGGAAAATCGTTTTTGATTTGTATTTTAAAAACGATTTTCGAAGTGGAAATTGAAGAGTCAAAATAAGATTATTTTAAAGTCAAATCGTGGCTTATTCGCAATAAACATAGTCAATTGCATTAAAATGACAAAAGAAACTTAAGAAAAATATTAAATGGCATTGTCGCTTTAGTTTCTTAGTGAGACATTGGTTGTGTAATTACAAAAATATATTTAGCTTGGTAGCTTGGCATGGTAGCGAATTACGATTAAAATGGGCGAAAATTCACTTTTCTGGCGAACCACGCTACGATGGACAAGATAAATAAAGGATTTAAGAAGAGCTTCCCAAAGCTGTACGGGAAATACTGCAAGCTAGAAGAGCTACATGCGCTGATCAAGAAATTCTAGGAGAAGGATAAGAAAAAACTGACAAAATGTATACATAAATTATTAAAAAAAAAACAAAATCAATTGTGAAATAATAATTGTAACTTGTCCTACACCAGTAGGTAATAGGGCAAATTGATGCTTAAAATAACTAGAATTTTTGTCGTTCTGAATTATAATGACACGATAATGTATTAATTATTTGCAGTTATTATTACTAGTTAACTATCAATTACATACACATATTAATGTGTGCGTGTCTGAACTGATTATTTCTTTGTTCAATATGAGTCATAGTGGCATTCATTAAGTCGGCGATTTCGCACCGGAATTATTATATTGTTTGCTATATTAGTGTTATTAAGTTATCTTTTGAACTAATGTTAATACGAGGCTTAGTATATCATTTGTGCAGCTAAAGAGACATTTACTATTTACACCTACAACGCAATAATAGTGATATTTTATAATACCAGAGGAGAATTCAAAAAATGAGACATAAAATAGGGCTGGTTGAGAAATACATCAGTATTTATAGATATAATACAACAAAATATCAAAAATCTACCCGTACAACAAAACAAAAATTTTCAAAGTTACTAAAAAAAATTACCCAACGAAGAAAAGCTCTTTTTAAGGAATGGTTTTTATGGATTACGAAAATGTTTTATTATTTTTTAATTGGTTATAACATATTAAATGAGTGTAGTCTGGCAAATATTAAATTAAACTATAAATTATAAATCACGCGTCATAAGTAGTCAAAAGTAGCCGAAATCACATATCTATCATGCATTCTCGGAAATTTTTAATTCTAAATTTAATCTCGAAACAGCGGCTGCTATTGTTGCGTTGCATTAAGGCGGAAGAACTAAGTGATATGTTGCTTAAAAGCATGAAATGTGCAATAGTACTGTACACAGTATTTTTACACGTTTCCTGGCAACCGAAGCTTGGGAACCGGTACCCAACTAATAACTAGTACCCGTGATGATCGCTTCATCTGCTTACAAAGTCTACGAGACAGTTGTGCCAGGGCTGCACAAATCTGAACAGTTCAGTACTTCCGGAATACTAACGTAAGTGATCGAACAATTAAACGAAGGCTTGGACAAGCAAATTTAAGCTGTCGCAAACCTGCAACAGGCCTACATTTTCTTAGGTGACATCCAGTTGCTCATCTTTAGTTTTCCAGAAACCATGCTCATTTTACTGTAAATAATTGTAGGCACTTTTTATTTACAGATTAGTCTAGATTTACATTCGGTTTCCAGATGGCTTTGAGAGAGTATGGCGAAGACCAGATGAGCGATTTGTAGAATGTACCATCAGTCCAAGGGTAGGCTATCAAGGGCGCTCAATTATGGTGTGGGCTGGAATTTCTCTAGAGGCACGTACAGAATTGTACATCGTTCCGAGAGGCTTCATAGCAGCTGCCAGGTACAAAGATGAAATTCTCCAACATTTTGTTGGGCCTTATGCTGGTTTTGTTATAAATGACTTTGTTCTGATGCATAATAATGCCAAGGGTCACAGTGCTAGAATCACTTAACAGTTTTTAAATAAAGTAAACATAGAGGGCACTATAGTTGAGGATATTGAGAGAAAACAGCTCATATGGTATGGGCATGTGAGCCGAATGGGGGACGAAAGATTGCCTAAAAAAACGATGATGTGGCAACCCCCAGAGAAGAGGAAACGAGGAAGACCACCACAGAGCTGGAACCTGGGAGTAAGGAAAGCGATTAGCGCTCGAAATCTGGACGAAGACCTAACTGAAGACAGAATACAGTGGCGTTTGGGAGTCGGAAAACGTCGTAAGACGTCATAAAACCGAATATATATATATATATATATATATATATATATATATATATATATATATAAAGTAAACATTCCGGTAATGGATTGGCCTGCATTGGGTCTAGACGCAAACCTAATAAAACATGTTTGTGACATACTTGGCCGAAGGATACGAAGTCCTAACCCTTTAAGTTTAAATCAGTTACAAGCAGCCCTTTTAGAGGAATGCGAACTTATTCCTTAACAGGTCATTTCTCATTTGACTTTAGGCGTACCAAGGAGTATTCAGACAATAATTCGAGCACGTGGAGGTAACATTTATTATTAAAATCAGTTTGTCCGGAGAAATGATTAAAGTTTTGATAACGTTATTTTGTTACAAGATTTACTTATGTTTTTTCCCTTAATTTTTAAATTGTTATCTACTGTTCAAAAGTTAAATTTTTATTAGAAATTATTAAAAAAAAGTTTGGTTTGTTTAAATAAAAGTTTAAAGAATAAAATTTTTTTACTTTAATTTTATAGTAAAAGTTAAAATTAGTAAAAATTAAGTTTTTTTTTTAATGCATGTGCTCCGTTTTTTGCCGGTAAGTATATTTTAATTGACGGGTTTAAATGGTTTGGTTTTTACGTAAGTTAGTTTATAATAAAGTTATAATATTTTATCATTCTCTTTAATATATAAATTATTTTTATGAGATATTGTTAAAATAGATTTATCATAATTTATCTCCAAAATTAGACAGTTTCAACAAGCATGTAAAAGTGGATTCGGTATCAGTCGTATATTGTCAATAAATCTTAACATATTTTGGCAGAAAATAATCTCTTGTTTTGTTTATACATTGTTTACATATAATTGATTTTTTTAATGGGGTTTACCTGAATCATGTCAGATTGGTGATAATAATATGTAGTATGTATATGATTTTTAAATAATTACTAAATCAGTTATATGAAAAAAAATCACAGACCAGGAAATTCAGATTCATTGGACAAAAATATGAAATGAAGAGAATCTGTACAAGTGAAATAATAGCTATATATAAAGCTATCTCTGTGTGTATCAAGAAAGCAGTTATCTTTGTGGATTCAAAAAGTGCTTTATTCAAAATTTCTAGTCTCAAATGGGATCAAATAGATTATGTAACCATAATAACCAAAGAACTATTGGTAGAAGCTAATTATATAGGATTCTCAAAAAAAGACATTTTCACATAATTCTACAGTGAATGGCATTCCCAAATTAAAGATAAATTTCCAGATTCTTGTAGATTGCAGTGTGATTTCTCCATAAAGCCATGGTACGCCAAATGTGGGTATATGGGCAGAAATACTATAACAAATATTAATCGTTTACGTAGTGAACATTGTAAAACTCCTTGCTGTCTCTTCTTCTTCTTCTGGTTCCTATCCGTTTCGGATGTTGGAAATCATATTGGCAATCATAACCTTGCTCGCTGCGGCTCGAAACAGCTCCGTTGAGGTTTTCTTAAACCATGTTCTTAAATTCCGCAGCCATGATATTCTCCTTCTACCGGGTCCTCGCTTACCTTTGACTTTACCTTGCAATATAGACTGCAGCAGGGAGTAACGGTGGTGATTTCCCACAGAATCTATCTCATAGAATGCTATCTCTACAAAATATGTAAAACAGAAACACCGAACAGAATGCGGAACCATTAGAACAATGATCCACATCTTCTTTGAATGTCCCATAAACAAACAAACACAAAAATATGGATCTGTATTTAGAACTATTAAAAGCAGGAGTAGTAGAAACCTTCTGACAAAATTATATAATTAATAAATTTGTCAAATTCTTTCAAATAGATCTACAAACAATTTTTTACTCGCTAAAATAAGAAAAAAAAATAAATTTAGAAAATACTGAAATATTCTAATATATAAAAATTTACGTATCATTCAATTATCATCCAGCTGCCAAATAGTATTATACAGAAATTTATCCCTGGTTGTGCATTGCCTAGAGCAAGACGAACATAACCTTACATCATCGAGCAATAAGACAAAAGAGGGAATCTAATCCTTATGAAAAGGAGACCAAAAAAGTGGCCTCTGATGGTGGACATATCCGGAAATGCGAATGCGCGAAATTTAAATTTTCCGACACTTATCAACAGTAGCTATATAATATTTTTTAGAATGTGTCTTAGACGAGAAAGTTTTAATTAATTATTAATGATAAGAGTCTAAAATGCGACACAATTGTTAAAAAACTTCAATATAAATAAGATTTCATGTGACATTTGGGACAAACAATAACATAACCCAACTAAATTTGATGTCAAACAAGGAGAAAGACTCTCTTTCCTTGTTTAATGTGGCCTCTAAAGATCGCACTTCCTGTCTAACAATATGTTTGCCCCCACTACCTTTACATTCCCTCTATTGTCTTTTTGCTCGATGGTCCCATCACACGTTGGTATTCCAGGTAACGAAAAAGCCGATCAAGCAGCAAAACAAGCATGTTCTCTTAACGTAACAACAGACATTCAAACATCATAAGATCCAAAAACAACACTCAAACATAAAATAATGGACCTTTGTAATGATCATTGGAAAATAAGCAATACCAAGTTAAGTAATGAAAAGGAAGATCTATCATTCGAAGATTGGGCATAGGCATACCCGCCTTACACATGGACACCTAATGAATTACAGTAAACACCTGTAGCTACTTCTTGATTGTCAACACTACCTAGCGGCCTGAAGAAAATACAATCTTGGTAACAACCTAAAAGACATACTTATCTCAAACAGCAGCAACTATGAAAACGTATTAAACTTTTTAAGAAATACACAAGTTATACAATTTAATTTAAAACAAAATGTACTATAAAAAATGTATTGTAACTAACTTGTACCCAATGTAAAGTATTAACCATATAAACATGGATGTAAATTGTACCTGTGTCAATGACCATTAGCTGTCGAGACATATGTATGTATATATTTTCGAAATAAAAAAAAATATTTTCAATTCTATATCTCCTAAAATGTATGTTTTGTTGTATATTAGCTACACAATTAATTTCCTTAGACTACTGTACATCATTACATGGAATTTTTAATAGAAACTTTAATTTATTTACAGCTTGATTTGTTTTCAAAGTATGATAATAATTATAATGTATTATTAATCTTTCCATACACCAGTTAACTTCAAATCGGTTAGCGGAAAATACCTAGAATAATAATACCGTGCTTAACCAGTGGCGTTCAAAAAAAATTTCTTTTTCGTAATAAGGTCTAATAAATATTTTATTGATAATTAAAAAAAATGCTGCAAATGACTCTTATTTGTTAATAGGTAGTGTGATAAGTACTGTCAAAAACAAACTAATGATCGCGCTAAAATTTGACATGTATGCCCAAAAAAGTTTTCTTCTGACTTTCTAGAAATAATGTTTGTTTTGAAATCTAATTGACAAAGAAGGTTACTTATCAGATGATAGAAGATAATTGATCTATATATGGAATTACCTTGCATGAGTAATTTTTGCAGCCTTCGGCAGTCCTGTAGTCCCTGATGTGTAGATATATAACAGCTTATCCTTAGTATTTGCCATATTTATGTGTTTTTGGGGAGATGCTACTGATTGACTAGATATACAGTCTTTGAGATCTAGCACTCCATTTCCTTGTTCTGCAGATGTAGATGTTTTAAAGTGGTATAGTTTTATTTCACCAGATTGGGGATAAATTTCTTTTACAGCTAAAAAATAGAATTAGTTCATTGAAAAAAGTCTGATATTAGTTTAAGATAAGTTTACACAGAAAAAATATTTTCATATATGTATCGCAAACTACTAGTTGGTCTAAAAATAATAAGCAATCTTCTGTAACAAAAGTTATCTAACTTTGATCAAATAAGTAATGCACATGCTCTATGGTAATGCTTATGCTTTACGCTTATGCTTTTTAAATGTCTTCTTCTTCTTTTTATGTAGACACGACTCTGTCTGTTTGTCAATGTACCTCCAGTAAGTTGTCGTTTTATCGTTTTCGTGGTATTCCTACGGATCGTCTTCCTATTGGGGAACCGTATCTTGCCGTCTTTACTACTAACTCTATTTGTTGTCATTCGACTTATATGATCGTTCCCTTCTACTCTTCTATTTCTAAACCAGTTCTTGATGTTCTCCACTTTGTTGTTCTCCGCATCTACGTTGTATATCTTTAACTTTTATTTATTCCTGTACAGGAGACTTTTTTCTTACGTCAACTATCCTACAACGTCTTTGAAATTCACAATATGCAAAAAACAATGCATGTTTTTCGCCTACCACAAGGATTAAGCCAGAAAGGGTCCCAATGAAGTTGCTTTATTTGTTATGGATTATATCAAGTCTGATGTGTCTATTGCTGTGAAATATCTTCACTTACTTTCTGACAGCTGTGCCGTTTAAAACCGGAATCATACTGTAGTGAGATGTCCACTTTAGTTAGTAGATACTGGAAGTTTTAAAACCATAAACCAGTACTTTCCACAACGTGGCATTTACTATCATACAGAAATGAAAGTAAATTCTACACAACACAAAAGGTTTATCACTAACAAATTTAAACTTAAAATAAGTGATAGAATTCCATTTTTACCAACAGTTCTGGCCTATTCACATGGTACCAATTAATAAAAAAAATATATAAAAGAAATACGCAAACTCATGGACTACATACTAGAGGAAAAAAGATCATTTTTAAAGAGATTATGCAGTGGCCTACTGCTGATGTAATGAATGATTTAATTTTTTTTTATTTCTGTTCTGAAACAACATAAGTCACTTTTCATAAAACCATAATATGGCTTAAGAAAAAACAATTTTTACAAGAAATATGTATGTAATGCATAATGTACAGGATAGTGAAATATTATTGCAACAATTAATTTTAAAGCAGTTTTTCTAACAGCGCTTTAAAACAGTTTTTTTTTAATTTACTCAAAACTATGATTTCTAACTCATGTTGTTTCTGAAATGACCGATTCAATTAACGTAAATTCTTTAAAAGGTACAGTTAAAGATACTTATACATAGACGTCATTCAATATAATTTCTACAAATAGGTACTGTACTATATGAAAAACAACTCACCATTTGCAAAATCTGATCCAAATATTAGTGCCCTTACGTTTGCCACTGATATACAATGTTGCAATGGTTTGGAAACCAAATTGGTGTTAATTAAAGCTGTTACAACTCCAATTTTTGATAAACCTATCCAGATAGCAGCGTATTCTGGTCTATTTTCTAATAAGAGAGCGACTGTGTCACCCCTTTCGTAACCCAGGGATATAAAATAATTCGCTATTTTATTACTATAAGCTTCTATCTAAAATAACAAGAATCTATTAATTTAAATAGCAGAATAGTTAAAAAATGTGGAATTTTGACTAAGTACTGTAATAAATACATAAACATAATAAAGTCTATTAAACTGGGAATAAGCCACAATTAAAGATAAAAATACGTTTATTGACGTTTCAATTTCCACTTCGGAAATCGTTCTCAAAATACAAATAGTTTGTATTTTGAGAACGATTTCCGAAGTGGAAATTGAAACGTCAATAAACGTATTTTTATCTTTAATTGTGGCTTATTCCCAGTTTAATAGTAATTAATTTACAATGCCACAAGAAAATAGCTTCAGAACAATATAAAGTCTGCAAAGCTATAAGAATTGAGAAACAATATTATCATTGCATTGTTTTATAGCTAGTTTCAAATGCAGTGGCCAAAATTTCTCATGACAGTAATGCCTGTCCTAATGGAACAGTGGCGTTCCAAAAAATACTTATGATACTTATGTCTGGTTTCTTTCATATTCGGTGTAAAACTATTTCATTTTTTATTCGGTCCATCGAGCTTATCTGTAACTTTCGGCGTACCTTCTTCTTCTTTTTATATAGACATGACTCTGTCTGTTTTTCCGTATATCGCAGGGTTGATATTGTCAAGCAAAAATAAATCGATTTCTACAGTGTCTGGGTTGTAATTTGAGAACAATAGCCAACGTTCTTGCCGTTAATCCTCTTTCATTATGACGTCTTCTAACCGTTCTCTCTCTTATTACATTTAAAACCTCCTGCAGACGTTTTCTTGCAGCAATCGCAGTGGAATGGCGATTTTTTACAAGTTCCATCACAATAAAACCATCATCTCTTGCGAGGGAACTCTTCTATGAATGGAACCAGGTCGACGTGAGCATGTACCAGTCTCTATGAAGCAACGGAAAGCTCTCCGTACTATAGTTATATGCCGCAATACCCAAAAGTTTCGTATACATAAACTTGACTTCTTTTGTCTTGTAGCAATGCAATAATTCGAGCAACATCTACTGTACATAGCACCATATCTTAACTATTCACTTAGTCAAAATTCACATTTCAAAAACTAAATTACTGCTTAATAAAATGTTTTCTTAGAACTTAGAAGAAATTAGATGAAGGCATAAGTAATACACAAATGGGATTTAGGAAAGGACTGGGAACACGAGATGCACTGTTTGCTGTAAGTGTTCTTTCGCAGAGATGCTTAGATATTAATCAGGAAGTATATGCCTGTTTCATTAATTTTGAGAAGGCATTTGACAGAGTGCAGCATAATCGACTTAAAGAAATTTTATTAAATAAAAACATAGACAGTAGAGACATTAGAATTATCTGTAACCTCTATTGGAATCAAACAGCAAAAGTGAAAGTTGAAAACGAACTGACCAAGGATATCCAAATTCGCCGTGGGGTCCGCCAAGGGTGTATTTTATCACCCTTGTTATTCAATTTATACAGTGAAGCCATCTCAGAATTAGCGCTTGCCGAGATCAGTGAGGGCCTTATAATAAACGGTGAGCCACTTAATAACATAAGATATGCTGACGACACCGTCCTTTTCGCAGGAACACTAGAAGAACTGCAACACCTTGCTGAACAACTAAATATATATTGCAACGATTATGGACTAAAAATCAATTTGAAGAAAACCAAGTTCATGGTATTTACAAAAGCACAAAACATCAAAGTTAAGCTAGTACTAGATAATACAGAAATTGAACAAATATCTTCGTACAAATACCTTGGAGGATGGATAACAGAAGATACTGATCAGACAAAAGAAATAAGATGCCGCATTGAAATTGCGCGGTCAACTTTTAATAGAATGAGAAAACTTTTTTGTAATCGCGATATCAATATATCGCTCCGGATAAGAATGCTTCGATGTTATATTTTCTCTACCCTTTTGTATGGAGTTGAAGCTTGGACACTTAAAAAATCCAACATTAAAAACCTAGAAGCATTCGAAATGTGGTGTTACCGACGCATTTTGAAAATATCATGGATGGATCGCAAAACAAAGTTCTTGAACAACTAGGAAAACAATGCGAAGTTTTAAATTCCATAAAGATCAGGAAATTGGAATACTTGGGGCACATCATGAGAGGTGAAAAGTACGAACTACTAAGGAATATAATGCAGGGTAAAATCAAAGGTAGAAGAAGCGTAGGAAGACGTAAAATCTCGTGGCTACGCAATCTCCGTGAGTGGTTTGGATGCAGTTCAATTGAATTATTCAGGCGAGTAACCAATCAAATTATAATTGCCAGAATGATTTCCAATCTCCGATAGGAGTGGAACTTGAAGAAGAAGAAATGTTTTCAACCTAAAAGATGAACAGAAACTACAGAAACCAACAACATAAATGTCAAAACTGTCAAAAACAAGCATAGATGATCGCAATAAATATTTAAATTAAGACGCGATATGAAATAGTGTATAAAACTTCCAATGAATTTTTATTTTCGGAAATTTATAGTTGCCACCTTTTTTGACGTTCAGTGTACTTCAACAAACTTTATATTATTTTATTTTATTTTAATATAATTGACTCTATAAGATTATCTAACAAAAATTTCTAATTTCCTATTTAAAAGAAAATTATTCACAAAGAAGTAACTGCCAATGTGATTCGTCCAAATTAAAAATAAATCGATAACACCCAACACTTGCTATTAGTCAAATTAATTTGGAACAGGTTTTTTACTTGCCTTATCAGTAAACCTAGTTTTAAGTTCTTGCATTTTTATTGGTGAATCAATATGTTTGGGCACGACTGTCTGTTACTGGTCATACCACTAACGAATAGTTGATGAATGTACCTATTGTTTTTTAGAGTGTGTGAGTAAAGCGAAATATTATTTGATGAATTGGTAAACCAATAAAAATCGAACGTATTTTCAGGACGAGTAACTTATTTATACACTGGGGTGCAAAATTAACGGGACAATTGATTTTTTTTTGTTTTTGTTGGTGTTTAGATCAAAACTTGTTTAATTTGTGCTTATGCATTGCAACGCGAAGCGCGCCGAACAGAATTTCTTCACCTAGGATTTTACGTTTGCGATCCGTGTCCCTTCTCTTCGATGTGCAGCGCGTTGCTTCGCACAGATACGCGCGAGTATATTTAACTACATGAAGAAAATTCATAACAACCTTGTTCTCCGCGCTTCGCTTCGCGTTGCAGTGCATAAGTGAGCGACAAACTTTATACACATACGTTTTCTTACACATTTAATGTTCCGAAATAGTGACTTAATATTAATTTAAGTTTATTGTGGTACTGTACTTGATTATAAGTTCAGTTGCAGGTTTTTGTATTGTCCTTTGTTTAAAACATTAAAAAAATTGTGACACCAGAAGAAGTAGTACAAGCTGTTGCTCTACAGAACGATAGGCGGAGCATTTCTTTGCAAAATTTCGGAAAGAAACAAGATAAAGCACCAGGAGGCCAGATCAAGATAGACGAAGAATCAAAAGTAATGTTGAAATTCGATTTCTTAGGTTACAAGCGTTACGGGATCGTACATTATCAGCACCAGTATTTATTCGACGATTAAACGATGTCCATGGAAACACAGTTTTCGTTTATAGCGTTCAAAATTAAATGATTAAGGTCCAGAATACCTGTCATGGGACCTCTATTAACAGGAGATCATCGGAGAACGTTATTGGCAATGTTGTTTTACTCCAAGAGTTCAATTTGGTGGAGGTGGTATAACGGTGAGGGCAGGAATTTCCCTAGAGGCTCATACAGAACTTGTTACGGTTCAAGGGGGCAATTTGAACGTTGATCGGTATATTGAGCAATGTTTGGAAGATCATGTAGTGCCATTTGCTCCATTTGTTGGAGAAAATTTCGTCTGATGCAAGATAATGTTCGTCCTCACATCGCAAGAATAACGCGGAATAACTTCAATGAAGTTAGGACTGTGTAACATTCTTTAGTTGTAATAAATATAACCTTTAAATTTTGTGTATTATTAAATACTCAATTGGGAACATCTTAAACTTTGTTAAACGCCAGTTTTTAGGAAAAATCTGCGTGTCCGGTTAATTGTGCTCCCCAGTGTAATTAAAAAATTATGTCAATAATCAAAAACAATTTTACTACTTAAGATTAAGTGCCACAAAAGCTGTAATTTTGATTTTTTTCTTATTAACGCTTAGGTAAGTAAAAGCAGCAAGTAGGGGGAAGGCACATAAACTATTATAAAAGATAGTCAATCTGTAGACGAAAACAAAAAATTATCACCGTTTTACAAGTTTCCAATAGCGTAAAAAAGGCAGCTTTCTACATACACAAATATAGGTAAATTTTTTTTCTAATCGTCTTTAGTTTTTGTCGCATAAATTTTGGAACATTCTATTTAAAATAAAACCAATAAAATTAAATGACCCGTATAATAATTAGGAACCTTGATATACTAAAATTATATCATCAAATTCACCGTTTTATTCCAAATCTACTAATCGATTTTAAAGTAGATATCAAGTTCTGTAAGACCTTCACCTATAATAAAAAAAAAACGAGAACCATTATCATGAGTGAGTTAATGCAAGAATTAGGAAACTTAAAATTTTTTATCTTTTGGTTTAGTTGTGAGATTAACTATTTAGATCTAAGGTTCGGGTTTTACTATATCAATAAATAAATAAAACATTTAGTTGTTAAATTTTTCAGAATAGTTAACATCATCAAAAATAAAAGACTCTTGACTTACTTGTCCGAATGTCCAAGTTTCGTCTTCAAAATAAAAGGCAACTTTGTGCGGTCTACTTGTAGCTATCTTTGTGAATAGCTTAGGTATTGTATCCTGATTTTTTTCACATTTTGCTATTCTTAATATGGCAGGAAATACCTTGGACAGGCCTCTGAAAAATATTAGTTTAATTATTATCAATATAAATAATTTTAATATCGAATAATCTTTCTATACATATGGTCACAAGAAACAATGTAATACGTTAGAAAATCCTCGAGAGAAAATGCTTATTTCTTATTATTTCGTCTTCGTCTCCATATCTACGATGGAGATGGAGATGTGTCTGATTATCCTTGATGTTTCTAGGTGTCGTCATAATAAAATCCCACTCGATTTCCATTACTTTGTTTACCAAAAATCCTCTCATATCAACAGTAGCTTACATGTCAACTCACATTACTCGTCATCGACACAGATTAATTCAGTCTTTAATATCCTTGTTACAAGTCAATAAGACGTTGCAATATTGCAAATGGCTCCCCAGGACTTTCTTTTCCAAAACAAATCCTCGTCCACAATAGTTACAGGAAAAATCATATCAAGTAGATTAGAAACTCATCATACCACAAAATGCTCCTTCCACCTTTTCATTATTTCCTCTCTGATACATGCCCCATTTTTGTTTTTGCAAACTGTTAATCTTGTCATGTATCCTTGGGTGTATTGCTTGGTTTCTTTGTAAAATTTTCTAGTCTCTCTTCTGTTTTTTTAATCTGTAATTTGTTGTAGTTTTCTGTTCAACATTTCTCTCTTTTTCCTTATACATATTTTCTTTGCTTCTTTTCTGAGTTCTTCATATGCCCTTCTATTCAATCGGGAATCCCTTTGTACACATTTCTGTCTAGCTATATTTTTGCTATTTATTACTTGTTGGCAATCTTGGTCAAACCATTCTTTGTTTCTTTTGTTTGAGGTTTCACCTAATTTTCTTCGACATATTTGTAATTGTCATTTGGATGACATTCCATTCTTCTTCAATGTTGTTTTGTTCTCCTCTTTCATTTAATATTATTTTTGTGTTCTGCTGGTACTCAATCTTCATTTTAGGATTTTGAAACATATATGTGTTCCATTTTCTTTGCTTGGCGCCTTTCTCTTTTCTTACCATTGATATTCTTTGTTTTATCTTCGACATAACCAAGAAACGGTCCGAATCGCAATTTGCGCCTCTGTAAGTTCCACCGCTTAGATATTAATACCATTTTCAGGTTATTTAAAAGTAAACTGAAATATTCATATTCTATCCAAATTTGTATTCTCTTATACATAATTTGGGGTTTTCCTTTTATCGGAGAGACCTTGTAAAGAATACGAGATTATAAATACATTCGTTCTTATAACATTGGCAGAATTAATAAAAATTAAGCTACAAACGTTGAAGATTTATGTCTGAATATACATAACATTTTGGTATGCAAGTTTTTAGTTGGCTGACAGTTTTTTGCAGCAGTAGTTTTTCATTTTCAAGACATAACTTTTTTGAGACAATTACAATAATATTTTAATGATCTATTTACATTTCTTAGTACATATTTTCGTTTTTAGTCTCGTTCAATATCGATATTATATTCATACAAATATTTTTCTGACGATTATTTCTGGTAAAAATAAATTTTTTGGGGCCCCTGTGTATTTTCTACGCCTTGACCCTGATAATACTTTCCTTTGTTGTTTAGTTCTTTGGCATGAATGCTATCAGAGAGTAAAATACTTTACTAAATTAAAAGAATACAAGTACAAAACACATCCAATTGCTCTGATTATACTCTTGAATTCAAATAAAAGAATGTTTTAGGCTGAGACCCCCGCTGAAGTGATCTCGGATTGTCGATTTTTATTTTTATGTGAAATGATAATGTGGAGAAATATATTTTGGTAATCATGAAGCCGCAGAATATTGTGGTTTAAAAATGATGTAATTATTTGAATAAAGTGTATTGTAAAAATTGTTGAAATATTTTATCTGAATATTTCACGGGAATATTTGATCGAAAAAGGGTATTCACATGTAAAAATCCATTAAATTTAAAAAAATATTTTAATAATAAGTACTTAGAAGATAGATTATCTTAGCTTAGAATAATTGATATAGAATAAAACACATTAAACTATTCAGTGGAATAATGTGTCTTTATCCAAGATCTACTATACATAACAACCAGTTGAAACTTCTGATTGTTAAAATATAGTCGCCCGCTGGTTTTGTAGGGTTGTAGATCAGTAAAGACTTTATATTGCAAACCCCATTGCCCCAGAATATAAGAGTTAATTTGTTCTTCATTATATTGTGTCTTGTGACTTTTCTTATTGTGTAATATAGTTTCTGTATGAATCTAAAACTTGGGAATAAAAACCTTACTACTGAAATCAAAGTATCACTCTCTGTGCAACTTATGATTGGCTTCTTCTTCTTTGAGTGCCTCTCCTATTGGAGATTTTATATCATTAGGGCGATACTAATTTTATTTACTGTTTTGAATAGTTCGTTAGTGGTACAGCCAAACCACTCTCTTAAATTTCTTATCCAGGACATTCTTCTACGGCCTGGATTTCTGCGTCCTTGGATTTTTCCTTGCATTATATTTTGAAGGAACGTGTACTTTTGTCCTCTCATCAAGTGGCCTAAGTATTCAAGTTTTCTCTTCTTTATATTCAGTATAACTTCTGGATCGTGATTTATTCTGCGTATTACCTCTTCATTTATAATTTTATCCGCTCAACTTATTTTTAGTATACCAGCATTCATGATTACAAAATAATTTTTTCATTTTTATAAAGGTAGACCTGGCAATTTCAATACCTCTTTTTATCTCGTGATTTTGGTCACCTGTTTCATTGATGAGGGTTCCCAAGTATTTGTATTTGCTTACTTTTTCGAGTTGGGTACCGTTTATTCCGAAACTAGTGTCATGTATTGGATTCTTACGTTCATCCCTATACCGTAGTTATTACATATCTCATTCATATTTTCATCTAGATGTTGTAGATCTTCCGCTGTTATTGCCATTGACTATTATCCCTTCGTTTGCATGTGAGAGAGCTTCTTGACATATTTGTTCGCTGTAGATATTAAACAAGAGCGGTGACAATATACAACCCTGTCGTACTCCTCTACGTATTTCTATGTCGTCCGATGTTTGGTCTTCTATTTTTATATTAGCTCGCTGATTCCAGTACAAATTTAATATTATTTGTATGTCTCTGGTGTCAATGTTCTTACCCTCCAGGATTTCTTTGGGTTTATTGTGGCGTACTTTGTCAAAGGCCTTTTCAAAGTCTACAAAGCAGGCGTGTAACTCTTGGTTAACATCTAGACATCTTTGTGTTAGAACGTTTAAGGCAAAGAGAGCTTCTCTTGTACCTAATCCTTTTCTTAATCCCATCTGTGTATCGTTAATATCGATATCTAACTTTTGATAGATTCGGGTGTGGATGATTCTAAGAAATATTTTAAACAGATGACTCATCAAGGAGATGATCTGAACATTGCATTGCCTTAGTTTTCTTCGGTATGGTGACAAACGTAGACAGCAACCATTCTTGAGGTATTATATCAGTACTGTATATTGTATTGAATATATGTAATATTATGTTTACGGATTTATCATTCAAAAGCTTTACAGAATTCCATTAGGTCCATTTGCTTTTCCATTCTTAGCGTTTCCTATTGCGTATTCTACTTCTTCTTTCAATATGCATTGATTACCTGAGTTAAGCTCTTTCTATCCTCTTCAAATAATTCATTCAGGTATTCTGTCCATCTTTTTATTTTATTCTCTAGATCTACAATAAGATTTCCATCTTTGTTTTTAAGTTTACCTACTTGGTATTTCTTTACGATTCCTTTTATATCTTTTACTTTTTTGTGCATATTGAACGCATGGTACTTTTTCTCATTGGTTTCCATTTCTTCACATTGTCCTTTAATCCACGCCTCTTTGGCTTCTTTTATTCTTTTTTTATATGTTTGTTTATTTCTTTGTATTTGTCTAGGTAATTCTTCATCTTTCTTCTTTGTTCCATCAAGTCTAGTATATCTTGTGTCATCCACCCCTTATTTTTTGTTGTTGTTTTTGTAAGATGTTTCTTTCCTGCTATTTGTATAGCTATAATTATGTACTTTACTGTGTGGTCTTCTAATCTTTTTTGGTCTCGTCTCTATTACATTAACTACCGGGTTATCATCTGAGCCTATATCAGCTCCTATGCCTTAGTACATTTAACAGCATTACGATACCTCCTTGCTATTTGATTTCTCACTATTTTTTCTTTCACTATGTTGTGGAGATGTCATGTATATAACCGTTGAGAAGGTAATTTGAAAAAGGTCTTTGTTATAACGAAGTCTTCGCTAATCATTAAGAATTTGTCAATGAGAGCATCTAGCTCTTCTGGTGCTAGAGCTTAATGGGATTTATTTTCATATCATTTCAGATATTTTTATAGCAAAATACAAAATTTTAATACAACAGTTTTTTTTTAATTAAAAAAAAATTAATACAAAATAAGTGGCACATCGACTGTGAATATCAGTAGGAAAGAGACCAAATAGTAAAGAGATTCCATAAAAGAAAACATTTTTCAACGATGTTGTCAATCTGCAATAATATAAAGCCCTCTTCGAATAGAAATAAGAAAAAGATATTTGTTCATACATAAATTCTTTGAATATTTTTTTCTTACAATGTCGCTGTACTAGTTTGTTTACATCAAACAGTTTCCTTGTTAAATCAGACAATTTTGTAAAATTGCGCAAGGACAAATATAAAAAAGAAGTTACTAAACGGTGATAATATGTTATTGAATTTTTTTTTCATATTTCATTTATTATGATGTTTTCGGTGTAAATAAGTTTTTATTTAATGTTATTAAATCTAAGTTATATAATTAAACAACACTATCTGCTATAAATGATTTATAGCATTTGGACGAATCTCTTTTAGTTAAGTGGATATAAAATGTTCATAAAAATGTACTATAATATTCAAGCTGATTTTTATAATAGACTTATTTTTATATATCTTTTTGAGACGATTGCTAGTTTGTGATTATTTGTTGTGGAACTTTCTTATCTTATGAACTTGTCTAACCTAAATACTTAAATAAAAT